CGGTGCAGCAACAAATCCAGACCCCTTCACCAACCCCTGGCCCCTGCAGAGCACAGCAGGGTTTAAGACTGGGGAACTTTGATTCTTATTTGCATGCCACTAGTGGAACAGCATCTCCTCTGTCCCTAGCTTCTTCATCTATACTAAACCCTACTCCAGTGCCTGGAGTCCAGCAGGTAAGGGCCAGATTAGCAGTAAAGAACTGGTGTTCACAGAAGGCTTGTTTGGTGCACGGTGCTGTGAATTCAAGGGGGTGGGGAGCTTCAGGCAGCCCTCACAGGGAGATTCTGTTATTCCTCCTAGACAGAGAAGGGCACAGTCAGCTTTGCCACTTCCTGTTTGTGTGGATGCAAATGGGGGCAATTTCCTTTTGGTAACTCAGTCTACTGATCTATGAAATGGGGACAGTAGCAACTACCCCTTGGAGTTCTTATAAAGAGTAACAGCCAGGCCAGGCATGGCGTCACTCATCTGTAAATCCAATACTTGGGAAGCTGAGGATCACTCATTCAAAGCCAGCTCCAGCCCCACTGCCTCCAGCTGTCTGGCATGTCTCTGGGCCTCTACTTCCCCATAAGCTAAGTTGGGAGTTGACATCAAGATGAAGAGTTGTGAATGAAAAGGCACACCCGAGAGGACTTGAAATACTTTCTGGTACTGTCTGTCCCATAGGCAGGTGGCTACTATCCTAACAGTGTCCCTGATGTTCTATTCAGGTCTGGAACCAGACAGAGCAGGGACCTGTGGCCCATCATTTGCTCAGCCTGTGCTTCCTGAGAGCAGCTGGGAGCTGGGCGCCCCCCATGTACCTCTGGGTCCTCGGCCCCATCTACATCTTCCACGTCCATTGCCATGGCAGGTGCTTCCTCCGGATGTCCCACCTCTTCAAAGTCAAAATGGTAGCCACAGGGAGCCTGGGACCAGGGAGCCTGGAAGAGGTGGGGGTGGGCAGCTGTGATGGGGGCAGGCTGAACCTGGCAGCGACTCCACACCTCTCATCAGCAAGAACTTAGGACAGAGGCAAGGAGGAAAGCAGTTAGCCAAACACAGAGATAAACCCATGGGTCAAAGATCTCACAAACAGATTTTGTGATTGTGCAAATCTACACACAGTGACCTGGCATCTCTTACTGTAGGCACATTGGGGTACAAATGGTAATTTTAGAGCCATACAAGGTTGAGTCTTTTTATAACTTTAGCAAGTATTTTGTTTGTGTGTTTTGGCTTTTTTTTAGGACAAGGTCCCATGTAGCCCAGGCTGGCTTCAAACTCACTATGTAGCTAAGGATGACCCTGAGCTCCTGGTCCCCATGCCTCTCCTTCCAATTTCTGGGGTTACATACATGTGCCATGACACTCCATATACTTATTGCCTTACTCCATTATATTGGGGTTGGATCCCAGAGCCTCATACCTATACAACAGATGCTCTGCCACTGAGCTACACTCCAGAACAGTTCCATGCTGATTTTCTCCTTACTTATAGCCCAGCTGGGCATTTTTAAAAAATTGTTCTACAGTTGTTTTGCTATTTTTGATAAACACTAATATAACAAGCACAAGCCTTGCTCCCCAGTTATCGAATCCTCCACTGAGCCATTCACACAGCCCCATCCCTCTCCTGGACTTCCTAGTAGAGACGGCATGTCATGCCCATAACCGTTACCACAGACAGACCAATGATGTGGGAGTAAAATTCACTAGGCAGACAAAGGCAGAACTAAACTGTGGTATAGCACAGAGCTGAGTCAGCAGTGAGACGGCGTGGGGGCATCCTGGGGGGTGGCTTCCTTGGGGAGGTTCTGCGGAGACAACCAGACTATGTTGTAGTAGCCAGAGAACAGCTGCAGTTAGGCTGTTGTTGGTTAGCAACGACCTGGCCTTGAGACAATGATGGACTTGCCTGGGAGAGAAACGGCTGGATGTGACCACCCATACTAAACTGGCATCCACACTTCGCTCCCAACAGATGTAACCATGTCAAATCTTTGACATTTGGGTGAAGTTCCCTTCTTAAGTAGATTTCTGCAAGCTGACCAGAGGCAATGTGGCCCTGTCTTTTGTTGGCCTGACAGTGTTCATGAGAGAGACAGAGAATTGAAGACAAAGTTGTGAAGAATCTGAGGGGTAGGGGCTGGGATCTGTCAGAGCTCTTTCTGTGGTGGAGTGTGGATTTTGTGGGTATAATACTCTGTCATGTATGTGGGTATTCGGGCTGGTTGTGTTGAGAATGTGAGTCTATTGGTATAAGTAATAACAACCAGTTTATTGATAAGCAGTCCCCTGAAGTTTTGTCCAGTTTGACCCAGTACAGAAATTGCAGCCAGGTGGTGGTGACACATTCCTTTAATCCCAACACTCTGGAGGCAGAGGCAGGTGTATCTCTGTGTGTTCAAGGCCAGCCTGTTCTACAGAGTGAGTGCCAGGACAGGCTCCAAAGCTATAGAGAAACCCTGTCTCAAAAAAACAACAAAACAAAAAACAAACAAAAAAAAAACCTCAGTCAACACAGCGGGAGGAGAGAAATGACTCCCCCATAGGTTGCCCTCTGACTTCCACATGCGTGCACACATG